AGTGACGTCTGTATTGATATGCAAAGTGTCGGAGGCACTGGTGAGTTGGCTTCACGACACATTGATGATGCTCAGTTACATCATTTACAAGACGTTGTTTTCAATAGTATGCACAAAACAAGGAAACAGGTAATATTGCTACCATTAAATCAACAGATTTCCTTGATTTTTACCATGATTATTTATGTTGTTGTTCACAAAATCTAGATGTAAACGTATGGTCATTGAATTATCTTTTTCACAAGAAATGAACCACCCATAAAAATGGAGAATTTTGAGCCATTTACCAATGGTTCCTGTTGTAAAAACATTTTGTCATTTCTTTGTAGGTACAAATGGTGAAAAAGAAATCAGATAGATTTAAAATGGTCACTTTTGTCCCAAGTTATTGGGAAATACTCACAACTACTGTCGTATTAATTTTTTTAGGAAATAATGCTTATCATAAATAAATAGATTTCAGATAGTTTCATTCCAGGAAAATATCTCACACTGGGGAAAATATCCTAAAGGCTAACCTTTTCACAACTATTTCCCTCTTTTCATCACAAAATAGTCCTGTTTATAGTCTGCACTTTCCTTCAAAAGATTGGGACAAAAATAGCCAATTTTTTTGAGCAAAAACTGAATATTTACTCAAATTGTGTCTGTTGGCTCCAAAATTAAGGTTCATTTCCAGAAATATTGAAGAATACAAGAAAAAAGTGCAGACAAATTTGGGCAAGAAAGTCTGGTGGTGAAAAGGTTAATGATTCATATCTAAATCAAGAATTATGTACCACTTTTGGAACATAATATTTTTGCTCTTTTTTAGTCCCCGTTCGGACGCAGTCCGAAAACGGGGACTTATGTTTTGACCTCCGTGTGTCCGTCCGTGCTTGCCTGCGTCTGTGCGTGCGTCCAGACCTGTATCTTAGAAATGCCTGGACCAATCACAATCAAACTTCACACATACATCATACATGATATTATACATATGCACGTCAATTTGTTTCATGATCTGATTCAAGATGGCCGAATGGCGGCCATTTTTGTGCTAAAAAATCCTAAAAATCAAGCATTTCCCGGCTGTTTACAGATGAATTTTGTTCAAACTTGGTATATACATTAGACATTATAGGACCTTGATGCAAATAATTTTGTTTTTCAGATAAGATTCAAAATGGCCGACTGGCGGCCATTTTGTTTTAATGAATGTGGTTCTCATGCCATATCTCTGACTTGCTTTCACTGATTATGTTCAAATTTTAAATATTCATTATACATCATGTCATAGATAGACAGATATATTGGTTTGACGATCCTATTCAAAATGGCAAAATGGTGGCCATTTTTGTGCTAAAAAATCATCAAATATCAAGCATTTCTGGCATTTATGGATGGATTTCGTTCAAACTTGGTACATATATTAGACATTACAGGTTCCTGATGCACATCATTTATTTTTCAGATCGGATTCAAAATGGCTGTCTGGTGGCCGTTTTGTTTTAATGAATGGGCTTCTAGACC